ATATGCACTGTTTGGGGTTATTTTTACCCAAAAAACTTTTTGATGTAAATTTATTAAAACAAATTATTTATTTGCAAATTTTATAACAAAAACTATGCAACAAAAATTTTGTTTTCAAAATTTTCGGTATTTTTCATTTATACAGCAACAAATTAAAAAAAACAGTGGTGTTTAAATACCACCAAAAGAAAGCTGTATCTGTCTCAAAAAATTATATAAATTTCATATGGGTACAGTGCTGCATGACTGAGTAATTGTCACTCAAAATATGACAGCGCTGAAAGCTGAAAATTGACCTGGACTAGAAGGGGGTGAAAATGTCAAAAGTAGTTAAAGTGTATTTCTATTAGAAAAATAAATGTTTATTTTATGTTACCTACCTGTATAAGGCATACTGCCCACGTGCTACCATCTTCCACATTTTCAGAAGGACTGTGGTCTCCAGCCAAAGATTTAACCTGCTGCATTACCCTGTGATGAAATCTGTTGCTGCATTATACTTATAAATGACAATAGTTTTCTCTGACTATACGCAATAATCAGGCCATCACCATCAAAAACCACCAGATAAAGGAGGAGCAGTTGTTGTGATGGATACAAAAAATACATACAAGAGGGCCAGAGACAGCTGGCAAATGCCACTTACTATAAAAAAAAAACTGGATTATTATCCAACCCAGAAGTTTACTAAGCAATTAAAAGGTCTCATAAAAAACTACCAACCCACCTACATTGAGAGCTTATTAGTACGTTACCAGATAATCCAGAAATTTGGGACTTCTACATGTTGCCTAAGATCCACAAGCCGGAAAATGTAGACAGACCCATCATAACAGGTATTAACACACTTACCGAAAAATTTCAGGCCTCATTGAAAAAATGTTAAAACTGTTGAATGCTGCTAGTTTCCTACAAGACACAACTGATTTTTTAAACAAAATCAACAATATACAACAATTGCCACCAAAATACACTTGTAGTCACTTTGGATGTTATTATATTTGAAATGCTACAATTTTGCCCATATTCAATATATTTCAAAATATATTTCAATAAATAAATAATAATTATATATATATATATATATATATATATTGCATGTTGAAATGAATTATTAGTGAAAAATATATGAAAAATATTTTTAAAAATAAATTCCAAATATACTGTATGTCTTTAAAGATACAAATCTACATTTTTGGAATGCATTTACAAATATATGTAAAAATATATGTTAAAATTACTTTTTTATATGTTAAAAAAATCTGAAGAATATATTTTAAATAAATATATTTTTAAAAATATTTTTCATATATTTTGTATAATATAAAAAAAACGCATTATATATATATATATATATATATATATATATATATATATATATATATATGTATAATATATATATATATATATTCATATATAATATACTGTATATAGATAGATAGATAGATAGATAGATAGATAGATAGATAGATAGATATTATTTATTTTTCAATATATTGAATACGCCCAAAATTGTAGTATTTCAAATACATGTTAATATATTTGGAAAGAATATTTTTAAAATATATTTAAAATATAGTTTTTTTCAATGTGGGATCCCTCACAAGGATGGGTTGGCTGCATGTCAAAGATTCTTATCATTCTCACCAAATCATAATTGAGGATGTTACACAGCTCATTGAATTCATTCTTACACACAACTACTTTGCTTTCAATAATGTCATCTATCTTCAATGTATGGGTACTGCTATGAGTAGTAAAATAACACCCCAGTATGCAAATGCATCTATGGCTAATCTGGAGGAAAAGTTCCAGAACAGCATACAACAAAAGCCATACAGATACTATTGCTATATTGATGATATTTTCATCATATGGACAGAAGGTGAAGAAAATCTAAAAATGTTACTCATTGATCAACAACTTTCACCCATTATTCAAACTAAAAATGGAATACTCAAACACACGTCAACTTCCTGGTCACTACCGTACACATCAGAGGCAACAAGCTGCACACCTCAAAATACAGGAAACCCACTGACAGATGTAAAACTATCTCCATAGTTCCAGATTTCACCCCCAACATACTAAGTCGGCCATCATACACAACCAAGCCATCAGCTACCACCGCATATGCTCAGACCTAGAAGACAAAGATGAACATCTCAGGATACTAGCAGACTCCTTCCATAAGAAGGGTTACAAAAACAATACCATCAATACCAGCATAAACACAGCCTTGAAAACCTGAAGAGAAAATCTACTTCAATACAAAGTAAAAAAACAAAATAACCGTGTACCTCTAGTAACCACAATCCATCACTAGAAGGGATAAGAAAGATCATCAAAGATTTATAACCCATCATAACAGAGGTTGAAACTAAAAGAAATATTCCAGCAACCCCCAATACTGGCTTTTAGACAACCAGCCAACCTCAGACATAAAACTAATCAACAGTAAACTTAATTCTGATCATGAAGTCACATATAATGGAAGCAAACCATACAATAAAAATGATGTAAATTGTTCAACCATATCAATCAGTCAATCTAAAAGTGTGACACATACAAAAGGAACCTCTAAAATCCCCGGATCATACAGCTGCACCTCCAGTAATGTTGTATACTTCATCCAGCGCAATACATGTTGCAAAGGAACTTATGTTGGAGAAACAGGACAGAAGTTACAAACAAAGATGAATTTGCATAGGCACACCATCAAGGAACATAAGGAAGATATTTTCTGCATACATGCGGGACATCATTTCTCACTTAAAGTGTTTTTTAAAACTATTCAAGAAAGAAAAACTTTTGAACTAAGAATGATAGTTCTATCTGACATCAAAGATAATGGCCTAAATCTAGAGCTGGGATTTCTAAATCATTACCCAACAGTTTCACGACCCCCTCTGTGACTGTCTTCCTCTCCCCCAGTACATAGCTCTTTCTCTTTCTTCTCTCACTAACTATGCTAGCTCAATTACCATTGCTGTGTACATTTGTTTGTTTTGGGTTTTTTTTGTACTCATAGATGGTCTTATTATAATATTCTGCTAAACCTTTGTGCGTTGGTACTACTTGGACCTTGAAGAACGGAGTACTCTCTGAAAGCTTGTCCTGAAAAATTCTATGGAAGTCCTCATGAACAGGGGACATTTTTTTACAGAGGCTGTTTTTGGCTTTTGACGTTTTTTTCTACAGCCAGTAAACTCCCCAGCATGTTATCCTATTTCTAAAGTAGTACATGCACTACTTTTGATGCGATTTACATAGACATCCGTGTCAGATGTCTTGCAAATCACAATGACATCAGCAGGTCACCCGATTTTGAAATCGTGCGACTTCACTGTAATGCTCCATGTACACTGGACAGTTCTGAATGATGGAAACTGACTGCTGGAGAACGTAGGTTAAAAAAAGTCTGTTTAGCTGCATTTGCATATCACGTTTATGTGCATTTATGAGCGTTTGCGTTTAGAAGCTTTTTTTTTAAAGATAACTTCCGGAGACCTTCCAAAATACCCAGAATGCACTGAAAAACAGTAAAGAATTAACTATTTCAGACCTTTTGAGAGAAATAAAGAGAGCAGAAGTAGAGAGAGCAGTATTTGTTGAGATTAGCTGTCTTTCTTTTTGTGGTGTTTGGATGTGTTCCAGCTCATTTCTGTGCAGAAATTATTGCAGCAGTGTCTAACATATTTTCTTTCATGCGAAACCTCAAAGTATGGTAAACCAGGTCTATCTGAGTACCGGGAAAATGCTTTGCATGCATTTTTCATGATGAAAAAAAGGCTCTGGACAGCATCTGGAAATGGAAGAGTTAAAAACATTTTCCAAACTCAAAAGCTTATAAACGCGGTTTGCCACATTTACAAGCATTTACAAGCATTTGAAACGCTGATAATATCTACTCCTGAATGCAAGTTTGGTGCGTTAAAAAAAAAACCGACTGTAAAACCGACTGTAAACTCAACTGCCTGTAAACGACTGTGGACACATAGAAAAACATTAGGGAGAGTTCAGGGGCTGCTGGATAAAATGCAGAAAATCTCCTAAAGGTGAGTTTATCAGCTGCAGTGTATATGGAGCCTAAGTCGCACAATTTCAAAATCAGCTTTGATGTTATCGGGGGCTAAAACCTGGAATCTGATCGGTTTCTATGCATAGCTGCATCAGATTTTGCATGCTCCAGTTTTAGTAAATCTCCCCAACAGCATCCTTTGCAAGCCTTCAAGTCTATAATGTGCCTGTAAAATGGAAAAATTGGTCTTTGCTATCTGAGGGTAAAAATTAATATGATCATATTCCAAGATCCTAATTAAACTACCTTTCAAATAAATACATTATGTCTGTCCGCTGCTTAGCAACACAATTTTCATCAGTATAACTACACTGAAGGTATACGTAACCTCTAAAATAATTCCAATATGGGTTTGTTTTTCTGAAGATAATTTATGTTTCCAGCTAAGTTTGCATCCATCTTTGCTGTAACTAGCTGTCCAATTGGAATTTTCTTTTTCTGAAGGCACAAATTTAAAATATGTATCCCAATTAAATCATAACGAATGTGAGTAACAAATGGGCAACAAGTGTACAATTGAGGCAATATATAGACGGCAAAAGGACAGTTGTCACCATACATATGCAACAAACTGAGAATTTCTAAAATACACAGGGAACAGACTTCAATTGTTATAACATATGGGCAGCAAATGGGTATTTATTTGAATACAAGACCATGGAAAATTAACAGGTAATCAGTACAGTACATGGTGACAAACAAGTAGCTGTGGCAATACATGGGCAACAAATGGGCAATTGTTACAATACATAAACAACACTTAACCACTTCCCGTCTGGCTGTTGTATATAAACGGCCGGACTGGGGCAGTGCAGGGGCGGGTTGCCGTTCATAAATGGCGCCCGCCATTTTGGACTGTATGCTCTCCCTGGGACTGGCATCGGGGTTAGTAGGGGGCCCCATGAGATGCCCCTGGTACCTTTCACAGGCTTTTTTGGGTGTGGTTTGAGTGTGGGTGAGGACACAGGGGCCCCATGATCCCCTATTGCCCGGGGGCCCCATGAGTTGTCAGTCCACCCCTGCTACACAGCAACTCTTTCCACACCAGACCCCTAGAGGCTGGCATGCCCTCCCTATATAACAGCAATAAACTTAAAGTTCAATGTAGCTATAAGAATTAAGAATCTTTTGCAAAAGGCTGCATGGACATACCCTACTAAAAGAAAACCTGTCCGTAAGCTTGGATAGAAAGAAAATCTTGAGATAAAATGTTGCATTCCAGATTTATGTATCAATCTATATAATGTGCAGGCACAGACTTGTGGAAAGTCTCATAGATCAGGCCTGAGTAGAAATGTATGACAATTTAATGCTACATGATTTTATCTAATTCCTTTTTTTCTGTAAGTTTTTTGTCAAAATATAGAAAACCGACACATTACCGGATTGATTAAATTGATTTATGTGAGGCATATACAGTATAACTGATTAGCCACAAAGACTATTGGTCATGGAGGGAAGCTTGGAAAAGGGTTTCTGGGGAAAGATGTAATTTAAATCCAACCCCAAAGCTGTGGGAAATTAGCTTTAGGCTGATTTCTGAGTTGGCAGATTGCATTAGTTCCCTATTGAATTTTACTTCTTGACAAGAATGTAGATGGAACTGTTTTGTATTTTTCATAGGGAATTTAAAGATTTCTCAAGGATTTGAGCAATAGCATATTAAATATCAGATTTTCCCATGTATGGTAATTTTTTTTAAGATCAGCCTACAACTGCTATTTGAATTTGGGTAGTTGCAGGTCGGAAATTACTTTCATATTTGGTGGTCTTCTCCAATTGCCCAAACCTTCTGGACTGAAATTGTTCACATGCTTCCTGCTATTTGCTAAACCACTACCCCCAGATCTGATTGTAGCCCTCTTAAATCTTCATCCCCCCTCTATCTCTAAATCCCAATTTATACTACAAATCACCACAGCAGCTAAACAGATCATGGCCAAAGCGTGGAAGTCCCCATCTCTGAATTATTCTAAAGTTACCCAAGCAATGATACATGCAAAAGTGGAAGCTACCATCCTAGATTCGGTCCCCAAATTCCTGACGATATGGACACAATGGGTGGACCGGTTCCTTCCGCTGAACTTTGATGATACGCTGCTTCTTCCTTAGCGCTATCTAGTCTTTCCTTGTGAAAGCACTACCATTTTCAGTTAAATTATACCTTGGTTTTGTCCCGAGAATACCCTTTCCCCCCCGGCAGTCACACACCTCCTTCTCAGTACCTTCCTCTGGTTCTTCCTATTCTCCTCCCCTTCCCTCTCTCTCCTACCTTAACCCTTTTCCGCGGCCTTACGCGGAACCCTCATGTAATTTAAGGAAATATTGCTCTCCTCCGGAGCTTGCCATGTCTCACCTCCTCTTGTTATGTAACAGTTTTAACTGTTCTCAAGGGTTAATCGTTAACTGTGTATCATATTGCAATCCCTTTCTGTGGAAGGGCAACCTGCTGTCCCTTATCTCACCCCCCCTTTTTCTTTTCTGTTTTTTATCGTTTTGTTTTGTTTCATATACATGTATTTCAGATGCCTTATGTTTGCTCTTTTGGCTCTGTATATTATTAAAATTAGAGATGAGCGAATCGAACATGGCGAAGTGGAATTCGTTTCGAAGATTAGGAAAAATTAGATTCGCGCCGAATCCGAAAATTAGCAAACTTCGGATGCACGAATCGAATTTTCCCAAAAATGGCGGCGACATGTGTGGCGACGGAGCGGGGGATCTCTGGGAAGGCGCGCAGACAAGGCGCGCTGACCCATAATGCATTCATTCATGACATGTGATCGCATTAGCCAATCAGCAGCCAGCCAGCCAGCCAGCACTGTGTAATGGTGGAGCTATAAATCACGGCCATCTTAGAATTCTCCATTAGCCTCGGTCATTAAAGAGAGACAGACCTGTCTGTATTAGGGACAGAGTTAGGGCCACAGAGACTTTAGGGCCACAGAATCGTTACTCAGGGACACAGAATCGTTACTCAGGGGACACAGAATCGTTACTCAGGGACACAGAATCGTTACTCAGGGACACAGAATTGTTACTGAGGGACACAGAATCGTTACTCGGGGACACAGAATCGTTACTCGGGGACACAGAATTGTTACTCAGGGACACAGAATCGTTACTCAGGGACACAGAATCGTTACTCAGGGACACAGAATCATTACTCGGGGACACAGAATTGTTACTCGGGAGGGGGGGGGGGGGGGGGGGGGGTCACAGAATCGTTACTTTCTGGCTTCACAACCACTATTGAATTAAAAGAGTATGTCAGACAACACGCAGAGGAGTGGCAGAGGAGGCAATGTTTCAGGAGCGAGCAGACGTAGCAGCAGAGGAAGGGGTCGATGGCAGCACTAGTCGCAGCCAGAGGCCAGTGCTCCCGGTGTCATCCAGCGGTCGTGTCTCCACCGACAACCCTGCCGTCATCGATTGGTTGACTCGTTGTCTT